TGGGCTAAAAAGTAGCGAAAGTAGCCCAATTTTGGGCTAAAAAGTAGCGATATTTTGGGCTAAAAAGTAGCAAAAATAGCTAAATTTTGGGCTAAAAAGTAGCAAAAGTAGCCCAATTTTGGGTTAAAAAGTAGCAAAAGTAGCCCAATTTTGGGCTACAAAGTAGCGAAAGTAGCCCAATTTTGGGCTAATAGTGAAAGTAGCCCAATTTTGGGCTAAAAAGTAGCGAAATTTTGGGCTAAAATGTAGCGAAAGTAGCCCAATTTTGGGGTACAAAGTAGCGAGGGTAGCAAAATTTTGGGCTAAAAAGCAGCGAAAGTAGCGAAATTTTGGGCTAAAAGTAGCGAAAGTAGCCCAATTTTGGGCTAAAAGTAGCGAAAGTAGCCCAATTTTGGGCGCAAAAGTAGCGAAATTTTGGGCTAAAAAGTAGCGAAAGTAGCAGAATTTTGGGCTAAAAAGTAGCGAAATTTTAGGCTAAAAAGAAGCGAAAGTAGCCCAATTTTGGGCAAAAAAGTAGCGAAAGTAGCCCAATTTTGGGCTAAAAAGTAGCGAAAGTAGCCCAAAATTTTGCTAAAAAGTAGCGAAAGTAGCCCAATTTTGGGCTACAAAGTAGCGAAAGTAGCGAAATTTTGGGCTAAAAAGTAGCGAAATTTTGGGCTACAAAGTAGCGAAATTTTGGGCTACAAAGTAGCGAAAGTAGTGAAATTTTGGGCTAAAAAGTAGCGAAAGTAGCCCAATTTTGGGCTAAAAAGTAGCGAAAGTAGCCCAATTTGGGGCTAAAAAGTAGCGAAGGTTAGGTTAGATTAGGTAGGTTAGGTAAGGGTTAGGTTAGGTTGGGTTAGGTTAGGTTGGTTAGGTTGGTTAGGTTAGGTTGGTTAGGTTAGGTTGGTTAGGTTGGTTAGGTTAGGTTGGTTAGGTTGGTTAGGTTGGTTGGGTTGGGTTGGGTTGGGTTGGGTTGGGTTAGGTTGGGTTAGGTTAGGTTTAGGTTAGGTTAGGTTACTGAGAGGCAGAGGAAAAATTCCTCTGAAGAAAGAAAAAGGTTCAGAGAGGCAAGGGGAGCAATGGCCTATAGAAACCCGCGTGTGGTTGGAAGCATTCTATGTCTGCCATCGACTGGATCAGGCACCCAGAAAGGTAAGCGCCCCAATACAAACCCCTATTCTGCTAAAAATTGCTACTAAAAGCCGAACTAGTGGATAGAACTTCCCAACAGAAAACAAGCAAACTAGTGTGACGTCACACGTCGCCGCGTCGCTGTCTGCGCAGCTCCCCCGTCCCCGGGAGGGGGAAGGGGGAGCCCCAGACCCTTCACACTGGCTACCCACACCTCAGTTCTTGAGGCCAATGCTATAGGCGAAGGTCATGTGCTCTGGCTCCGGTGTCACTACAGCACTGTGCTTCGTGTGTGGTGTTTGTTTTCTGTGGGTGCGAGAACCAGGAGTTATCTTCAATACTCAGGCCCTGTAAGTACTGCCCTTGGGGCTTGGGGCCACCTTCCATAGGCTCCTCGGGACCTGCCTCTGCTAGTCCGTTCTACCGTTCGTTTTTTCGGCCGTCTGTTGGGCTCTTGGGTGTTCTGTTCTCCCTTGTTACCTGCAGGTAAGAGGCAGTTTGCACTAGTAGGGGCGCAGTGTGTTGCGCAGCTTTGTATTCCCGACATAGTGGCTGGCTCTGTTCCTTGGGGTTCGCTGTCCTCTTGCGGGGTTTTGTTTTTCTTTTTGTTTTTGCCTTGTGGGGGGTTCTGCCCTATTATTCCACTGGTGTTTGCCCTTCTACGATTCTCCTCGGTGGCGCCCCCTGCTAGGTCCCCGTTAGTGTATCCATTCCTAGGGTACAGCTATACCCCAGGGACTTGCTTGTTAGTTTTGGGCGGCAGTTAGCTGCACCCTGCCCGGGACTACCTGAGTACGAGTCCTTTTAAAGTAAAAGCTCAGGACCAATCCCCTAGGGGGCGCCTGGGTCCGATGGATGTGATCGTTTTTGGCGGTCGAACAGGGTCCTGGTTGCTCGTTACCTCGCGAATGTCCTTGGACCCCATCAGGCCTGTGTTGCTTTGGGGCGGCAGTTGCAGCCAGTTGTCTCAACTTCGAGTTGAAGAGTGAGCGACGACCGCCTGCCGGGTAAGTCCCTCATTTTCCGTCTGTGGGTAGTTAGCTTCGGGGACCCGACGGGGCTCCCCCCAAAAAAAAACAGCGTTAAATATAATGAAACGCCATTTTCTGGGTGAGTCCCGGAGGCTCCCCGGCATCCCTCCCTCCCTCCGGTCGGCGTTTTTTTCGTGTTTTTGACATCCAGCCTCAGAACCGAGGTGTGGGTAGCTGGCGTGAAGGGTCTGGGGCTCCCCCCTTCCCCCTCCTGGGGAGGGGGGAGCTGCGCAGACAGCGGCGCGGCGACGTGTGACATCACACTAGTTTGCTTGTTTCCTGTTGGGGACTTCTGTCCACTAGTTCAGCTTTTGGTAGCAATTTTAACCAGAATAGGGGTTTGTTTTGGGGCGCTTACCTTTCTGGGTGCCTGATCCAGTCGATGGCAGACATAGAATGCTTCCAACCACACGGGGGTTTCTATAGGCCATTGCTCCCCTTGCCTCTCTAAGGGGGGGCCTGGTTCTGGCCGTGGTCCCCAATAGGCCTAAGAACTCCATACACATGACTGATGCCAAAGTCTGACATTAGCATATCAGCCTGGGATAGCTCCGGGGAGCCTCCGGGACTCGCCCAGAAAATGGCATTTCATTACATTCATCGCTGGGTTTTTTCAATATAAACACTAAAATTAACTTTATGTACATTTATTTACAAAAGTATTACACATTTAGTAGTCCTGGAGACTGTGATACTATGCGAAACAGTCGATATGGCACAGAGGGACTGCACACGCTTTGCACCATGCTAACACCAATTTACGTTTATGTGGCCTTAATTTAGTGCTGTAACACAACGCACCAATGCTGGCCTGCTGCACGCACTCCAGTTGGTGGTAATTTCTTGATTTAGTGTACCAGAAAGGCCTCCCTGTAAGTGAGCCTGGGTGCAGGAGCATGGTTCAATATTGGGTCCTGAATGGGTCTTTGTATGCCAGGGGTGTCTTTGCCAAACTTACCTAGTAATTGTTTCACAACTTGAAAACTAAACGAACGGAAATATGGTTTTCTGCCTGTTTTCTCAAGATACATGTTGTAACTGTTCAGCATTGTTACGTCAGTAAGGTGGAAAATCATTTTCTTTGTCCACTTCACTGTTTTCCATACACACTCTACAGCACCCACCATCATGTCACACTTATCGACTAAATGCATGTTGATGTTGTAGTCCATCATACAATCTGGCTTATATATTATTTGCTTTGTTGTTCTGTTCACCTTGCCACTGTCCACCATTGTACCAGGGTGAATGGTGGTCAACATGTTCACTTCACGTCTGTTGTCTTTCCTTCGGACTGAAAGTATTGCACCACTTTTTCTTACATCACAATCACCTACTTGCATAATAGTGTCAAACACAGGCATTTCCTTTCGTTTTGGCTTTACTGTGCCACACACTCCAGTTTTATTATCAAGCAAGAATCTGGTTAGTAAGGGACTGGTATAATAGTTATCTGTGTACAATATGTGGGCCCTTCTTCAGATATGGTGCAAGCAGTGCCTTCACTACACTACCTGAGAAGCCATGTTGGTCATTAGTAGGAATGTCTACATTTGTAGCCGAATACAGTATCATGTGTAACACCATTCCTGATTCACAAGTGACAGAGCACAAAGAATTTCAATCCAAATCAGTGGCGTTTTGAGGGAATATACTGCTTGAAGGCAGCACATCCTTTGAAAAGTACAAGGGATTCATCAATAACCAGCTTCTGAGCCGGTATGTAGTAATCTCTGAACTTTCCAATCAGGTCATTTAGCACGTAGCTCACCCTCCAAAGCCTATCATCCTGTCTCTCGTCTGCATTATTTGCAAAATGAAGACACTGTAGGAGTAACAGAAATCGGTCTCGGGACATATATTTCCCGAACAATGGTGTTGGAACAGCGTTGTATTTTGCTCAGATAATGGGACATTACGTGTTTCACACAATGTTTCATCAACATACAAATTGCGAAAAACACAGTTCACCTACAGTCGCCTCTTTAACCCACTACACCAAACTCAGACCCTTAAAAAGAGATTGGAATTTCGGGGTATTTAATCCCCCCAAAGATCACTACCTCCCAAGGGTAACTAGAGCTAGTGAGAGGTCGATGAGAGGAGATGAAAAAACGTGAGTGACCTCTCACTAGCTCTAGTTGCCCTTGGGAGGTGGTAATCTTTGGGGGGGATTAAATACCCAGAAATTACCATCTCTTTTAAGGGTCTGAGTTTGGTGTAGTGGGTTAAAGGCGTACCTGTTATGCCAGTTGCTGTGAGGCTTCTATGCTGGATAGGGTTCAAGTCTTCTAATCAGAAAGTGTTCTAAAGTTGTAAACCTCACTTGCGTGTTTAGTCAAGTTACTGCATGTATATATGTCGGCAGTTTTTTGCATGTTTTTTATATCCAGTCTCAGAATTGGGGTTTTGGGTAGTTGGCACGAGGGGTCTGGGGCTCCCCCTTTCCCCTCCCAGGGAGAGGGGAGCTGTGCAGACGGCGGCGCAGGGACATGCTCATTTGCTTGTTTTTGTTTGGGGAGCTCTGTCCACTAGTTTGGCTTTCAGTAGCAATTTCTGAATCAAAATAAGGGTTTGTTTTGGGATGCTTACCTCTCTGGGTGCCTGACCCGGTCAATGGTAAACATAAAATGCTTCCAACCACATGGGGGTTTCTATAGGCCATTGTTCCTCATGCCTCTCTGAGGGGCCAGGTTTTAACTTGTGCTCCCCAGTAGGCCTAAGAACTCCATTCACACTGATGCCAAAGTCTAACATATCCATATCAGCCTGGTTCAGCTCTGGGGAGCCGTAGGGGCTCCCCCCAGAATGCCTATTGGAATTAGACTTTTATGCTGATGCCATTTCTTTTTCCAGATTCTTCTGTTGGATGAAGCAACAGCATCTGTTGATGTAGAAACAGACCACTTAATCCAAGCTACTATTAAAGAGGCATTTGCCACCAATACTGTCCTCACCATTGCACATAGGCTCAACACAGTGGCTAATTATGATAGAGTAATGGTCCTTGATGCAGGAAAGGTAAGATACTGCTGTTATCTGTAAATGGTACTGGTTAAAAAGCAGAAAAATGATGTGAAATTATTAAATAATGTACAGTATGTTTATTTGATGTATCATGGTATTGTGATTTCTGTGTGTAATGTATAGTCACTGTTGATTGATTGAAGATGATTAAGCCACCCAAAAGGTGGCATGGGCATGAATAGCCCGTAAACAGTTTCGTTCAAATATTAACAGATATTCGGTGCTTACTGCTTACTAGATATCTTTCAATGATGGGTATGTAATATATTCTATTTAATTTTAATTTATTGTGGGGAGAATACCAACATGGCGTGTTGTAAGTAATTTAACTATTTAATCCAAATATCTTTTGGTGCACATGTATTTCAATTCCCCCCCCCCCCCCCCTATTTTTATGAAATTTTTAATAATAGCCAGATATATACTATGAATAGTCAATTATTTTTTAATCTTCATTGCATAATATAAAAAATGCTCTTAAAGCATTTTTAAAGCTCTTTAAAACAAGTATAAACTCAGGCTTCCTGTCCCTAACAAAAAATGACTTGAGTAAATAATAATTTTTACTACAGGAGTAACTGTAATAATAAGTTTATTGAAAAAGGGAAGTTTGTACCTTCTTGCTGGTAAAGTCATTGATAATTGTCATTGACATGAAAGAGGGTCATGAACTAACATTGGATGAAGCTAATAAATTATTCTGGCTTATGATAAACCACTTATTCTGGCAAAAATTTATTATTAGTCTGTGTATATATAAACAAAATAGTTCTTATCTTGAGCATTAAAAAGTTGAATATTATATTTTCTTTCCCAAATTTTGCATGTTTCAGGTTCACGAGTTTGATACCCCAGAGAGACTAATGAATACCGAAGGGTCGCTATTCCAGGAGATGATGCAAGCAATGGGTGTCCACACAGTAGAACAAATGCAGGCACTTACCTAGTACCTCCTTCCAGTGGCAAGTTATGCCTAGTGATTTCTATAGTTGGGGTTTCCTGTTGTAGTGCACAGTTCATGGCCAGACACCTGTACTTGAGTTTGAAGTACATCCTGGAAAAAAAAAAGTTCTCTGCATTATTTGAAAGTAAATTGAGTTTTTAAATAGATTTGACTGAAGTGTTTGTGTACATAAAAACTAATTGCTGTAATTCACATGCATTTTTGAACATAATGAAAGGGAAATGATAAAAAAAGTGTTATTACAACTTTGTCAAACCATACTAAGTGCCAAGTAAATACAGTTAATAGCTCAATTACTATTTTGAGTAGAAGATACGTAATTATTTTATATAGTTCACCAGGTTCATTGTAGTTTAAACATAGTTCTTTGCTAAAGTGAACAAATGTCTGTAATGTACAGTTATACTTACAGAACCCAGTCTAACAATTCAGTTTAACTTAAGAAATGACAGTCTTGAGAATCATTGATGTATTTCATCCCTACAGGAGAAGTATGCTTAATGGGACATGGATGGGTCAGACAGGTGTGTCATTAGTCTTTTTATTTTAGTCTGTGATTATTATGATATCGTGTGTAATGTAAAACAAATACTCTTGTAATGTTTGGTATGCTACGTGTAATGGGTCTCGGGACCTATTAAATTTTAAATACTGTACTGTATAGCTGATTGGGAACGTGTGCAGAGCTGCGTTTCTAAAACATTGAAACAAATGGTAGACCAAAACTATTTTGGCAGGTTCTTAAATATGTTTAAAACTTAATAATGGGGTCATTCTAAAAATGTAATCTTGATACATTAGCCACTTCTTAAAAAAAAATGGCTAATGAAGATTAAACAAAAAAATATTTAGTACATTAGTGTATTTTTGTGTGCGTGCTAAACGTATAAAAAATACAAAGAGAGAGACATTAATGGTGATCAATGACATTTTTGTTTAAATAAGAGATAAAGATAAATAGGTTTTGGAAAAATAAGAATAGACAGGTTGAAGGTTTGGTATGTCAAGAGTTATAAAATATTCATCATATGTAATTTCAGATCATGATGTATTGATGTTTAATCAAATTATTGAACAATCTGCTTTCTTTAATTTCATCATAAAAACTTTTGACAGTTTCTCAAGAGGTCGGTCTGTCGACCTGCTACTTAAAAGCATGATATGACTGATGCTGGCATGTATGTCTATCTTGCAACGATATTAATTTTGGTGTGCAAAATGTCACATTGCACTTGAAAGTGATCATCCACGTGAACACTTATTGCTATCATAAAAAAATCTGAAAATTATAATTCAAATAACATCAGAAAAAAACAAGCAAAGTATGCAATCACAAGCAACACCTTCATTAATTTAATTTTATGGATTTCTGTATCATAGAAATGAACCAAATGCACTTTAATATTTGGAGTTTTGTTATTCAACATGGAAACTTAATTGGTTAGAAATAACAGACGTAAACTAGACTAATGTATGATAGTTAATACAATACAGCATGACACTGTTTTACAAGTTATAGTTTTTTCAAGTGTAATTTCATATCTGCTCTCACTGAGCATGCATCATATCAATGTGCTTGTTTTGTTAATTTTTATTTTGGGTTGGTATATGTGCCGTCATTTTTTTTTTTTAGTACAATTCAAACCCAGGTCCTTGAAATATTGTCAAGTTTGAGAATGGCTCTATAGTCATATCCATATATAAATCTGATGTAAAAACGGGCAAATGTGAGGCGTTTAAGGATGCGAGCTGAACGAATGGTGCTTTGTTAAAAAGTAAATTATTCTGGTGAAGTATGTATGTTGTTGAGAATGAATTGAAGTAAAAATAAACCCATTTTTGTGCAAGTGGCAGTTAATCTATACTGTATTTAAAAAGGCATTAATTTGAGTAGTGTAGAGGGAAAGCATGTGTTCATTTGAGATGTTCATTCAGTTCATATTCATATTTGGAACATGCAAGCTTAAAATATAATACAGCAAGCGAGAGAGAGGTTTTAGGAGATAAAAAATTAAAGTAACTAAGTTTACAGGAATTAAGAAAACTGTGCGATCAACTAGTTGAAATGAGATTAGAAAGATCTAAAAATAATAAAGGAAATTTTGTAAATTGGTTAATCATTTATTAAAGAAGGGAAACGTAACACTAAATGTTTAGTGAATCAGATTAATTAATTTTTTGGGGGGGAGAAATACATGTTACCAAAGAGATAATGAAGACATGTTGTGCAAACAAGTAAAAAGAAATGAAGGCGGTATTCCAAGTCAGTGCAGTGTGCAAAAGGAATATATCTACAAAGAAGCTCTAGTATTGTAAACACCTATTTTTGGAGTCTCATTGAGGATAAAAGTGAATTTTCTCACTAATTTATTTGCCAAGTTTATATGCAGTAGTAGTGATTAATTTATATTTGGAATCTCCTTAGTTCTATGTATGCCTAAAGCTTAGTTTGAAGTTTTAAATATCGAATGTATTTGAATTTTGTTTGTTATTATAACAAATTTTATTATTTTCATGAGGCAATTTTGTTTTTGTTTTTAAGCACTGTGTAAATCGATAACAGAATATTAAGCAGTGATCACAGACTCAGGGGTAAGTATTGCACTAAAATGCTGACTGCACTCTGGTACTAGCTTAAATATCTGTATTTAAGTGTTTAAGTATTAAAACCAATAGTATTTGGTTAAATACATGAAGCAGAATATAGACTCGTTATATTTTGTGGTCAATGAACATGGAAAAATTAGAATCTTGTTTTCCATTTTTGTCCTTAGTGCCTTCCTATTGTAAAAATGTTGTACCAGAGGAAACAGGGTATACACTTCTAGTGTTCATGGTAGCCGCCTTTCTACTGAGGTGTACATATTATTATACAGTTTGTAACTTATATATAATTCAGTTTATTTGCTGTAGCACATGTATTTCAGATACAGTGTTAATATATTTACTATATTGTTTTAACTTTTTTTTGTCTTCTACTCTATTTTAGTTTAATTTTTTTTTTTACCAAAATGTTTATAATATCATTTAGTCTTTTCTGTGATTTATTTATAAGTGTTATATGTTTGAATGTATAAAACTCTTTGATAAAAATCAGGGTTTCAGTCATCTACACTGGACGTCCAATCATATTCAGTACACTAGATAGACTACTTCAGATGTAACTCGATATAAATTTTTTTATTATTCAATAGATTTTTATTATTCTCAAAACCTTTACCCAGCACTTTACTAAGACTTAAGATAAAGATGCTGCATTCTTGTAATGCAATTTGAAGCATTTATTGTTCTTCAACTTTGTTTTGAATTACTTGCTCATTAATACCAATATTTTTTTATATCGTGAGGCTTTAAGGCACCACACGATTTCATCTGGGTTTGAGCCCAGATCAAGAGTCGTCTAGGAGCCAGTCCTTAAATGTTCACCTCTGATCACCCAGCAGTAATTGCAGATATAGATGTAAACAGACTGGCGAGTTTTGAGTGTAAACTAGTAGGGCAAGGCTGTGGGAAGGGAAAGCTCTCAGACTGCTAACAAGAGTTAGAAGTTGTCTACTCCTGTCCCCATGTCTGTCTAGTCCTATCCCCTCTCTCTCCCAGAACTAGTTGTTCAATAATCACTTGCCTTAAGCTTAATGCCTCGGATCTAACAGTTTGTCACAACACTTGTCATGCACCTAAAAATAAAATATTGTTTACATTAAAGCAGAGTATAAAAGTTTAATTCATATACAATCAAATAACAAAACAGAATTATGATCAAGAACGATGGCACCAATCAATAAAAAAGTGAATTTTTAATGGGATTTAATTATAAATTGTAGTAGTAGCTTGGCGGGTAATAACAATAAGAATGCAAGAGCATAACGGAAGACCACCTTGTCTTGGACTTGTGAGACTTCGGTCAAGCATGAATGGTCTCTTTTTAAAGATACAAACAAATTACCTTATTAGTCTTGATTTCTTTTAGCCAACCTTGGTTAGAAGTACTGTATGATTGATCTATTTAGCTGTCTATTGGTCTAAATTATCTAAAACAACATGCTTTAGAATCTATTTACATTGACCAATAAGCCTTAAACCAATAGTACAATCCTACTGGTTGCATGGTCAAGAATGTGAGGATTTTACATTTAAAGTCATTTAATATTGTAAAGGAAGCAAAAGATCATTAACAACTGGCATCTCCCACGTCTATCTGTACAACTGCCATCCTGATATGACCTCCACATATCCATAATTTATTAATAAACTAATTTTCAAAATATCAGAAATATTGTAAATCTAACTCATGAGCGTTATTATCGAGCTGAATTCTGGCTCATTGCACATATTTGGAGTTTGAAATTACAAATTTTTATACCGAAAATATGCCAATTACTGAAAACGGCGATGGGTCACATTTTGTGCAACCCCCCCCCCCCCCCCCCCCCCTGCAGTTTTCAAAATACTGTATCTGAAATATCGGAAATTTGACTCGTGAGCGTGATTTTCGAACCAAATTCTCACTCTGCACCAATTTTCAGTTTCAAATTACGAATTTTTATACTGAAAATATGCCAATTACTGAAAATGGTGATCAGTCATATATTGCCCAAATCTCCCCACCCCCTGCAGTTTTCAAAATATCAGAAATGTCGAAAATTTGAATCCTGAGCATGACTTTTGAGGCGAATTCTGACTCTCTGTACCTATTTTCATATTCAAAATACGATCTTTTATACCGAAAGTATGCCAATTACTGAAAACAACAATGGGTCATATTTTGCCCCCCCCCCCCCCCGCCCCGAGCAGTTTTCAAAATATCTGAAAAGTCGAAAATTTAACTCCTGAGCGTTTATATTGAGCCGAATTCTGACTCTGAACCTATTTTCATTTTTAAATTACGATCTTTTATACCGAAAATATGCTAATTACTGAAAACGGCGATGGGTCATATTTTGCCCAAACCCCCCTGCAGTTTTCAAAATGTCTGAAATATCAAAAATTTGACTCCTGAGCGTGATTTTCGAGCCGAGTTCTGACTCTCTGCACCTATTTTCATTTTCAAATTACGATCTTTTATACCGAAAATATGTTAATTGCTGAAAACGGCGATGGGTCATATTTTGCGCAAACCCCTCTGAAGTTTTCAAAATATCTGAAATGTCGGAAATTTGGCTCGTGAGTGTGACTTTTAGGCCGAATTCTGACTCTCTGCACCTATTTTCGTTTTCAAATTACGATTTTTTATACCGAAAATATGCCAATTACTGAAAACAGCGATGGGTCATATTTTGCCCAAACCCCTCTGCAGTTTTCAAAATATCTGAAATATAAAAAATTTGACTCCTGAGCGTGATTTTCGAGCCGAATTCTGACTCTCTGCACCTATTTTCATTTTCAAATTACGATCTTTTATACCGAAAATATGGTAATTACTGAAAACGGCGATGGGTCATATTTTCCCCAAGCACCCCCTGCAGTTTTCAATATATCTGAATTGTCGGAAATTTGACTCCTGAGCGTGATTTTTGAGCCAAGTTCTGACTCTCTGCACCTATTTTCATTTTCAAATTACGATCTTTTATACCGAAAATATGGTAATTACTGAAAACAGCGATGGGTCATATTTTGCCCAAACCCCCCGGCAGTTTTCAAAATATCTGAAATGTCGTAAATTTGACTCCTGAGCGTGATTTTTGAGCCTAATTCTAACTCTCTGCACCTATTTTCATTTTCAAATTATGATCTTTTATACCGAAAATATGCTAATTACTGAAAACGGCGATGGGTCATATTTTGCCCAAACCCCCCCTGCAGTTTTCAAAATATCTGAAATATAAAAAATTTGACTCCTGAGCGTGATTTTCGAGCCGAATTCTGACGCTCTGCACCTATTTTCATTTTCAAATTACGATCTTTTATACCGAAAATATGGTAATTACTGAAAACGGCGATGGGTCATATTTTGCCCAAGCACCCCCTGCAGTTTTCAATATATCTGAAATGTCGGAAATTTGACTCCTGAGCGTGATTTTCGAGCCGAATTCTGACTCTCTGCACCTATTTTCAGTTTCAAATTACGATCTTTTATACCGAAAATATGCTAATTACTGAAAACGGCGATGGGTCATATTTTGCCCAAGCACCCCCTGCAGTTTTCAATATATCTGAAATGTCGGAAATTTGACTCCTGAGTGTGATTTATAGACCGAATTCTGACTCTCTGCACCTATTTGCAGTTTAAATTACGACTTTTTATACCGAAAATATGCTAATTACTGAAAACAGCGATGGGTCATATTTTGCCCAAACCCCCCTGCAGTTTTCAAAATATCTGAAATATAAAAAATTTGACTCCTGAGCGTGATTTTCGAGCCGAATTCTGACGCTCTGCACCTATTTTCATTTTCAAATTACGATCTTTTATACCGAAAATATGGTAATTACTGAAAACGGCGATGGGTCATATTTTCCCCAAGCACCCCCTGCAGTTTTCAATATATCTGAATTGTCGGAAATTTGACTCCTGAGCGTGATTTTTGAGCCAAGTTCTGACTCTCTGCACCTATTTTCATTTTCAAATTACGATCTTTTATACCGAAAATATGGTAATTACTGAAAACAGCGATGGGTCATATTTTGCCCAAACCCCCCGGCAGTTTTCAAAATATCTGAAATGTCGTAAATTTGACTCCTGAGCGTGATTTTTGAGCCTAATTCTAACTCTCTGCACCTATTTTCATTTTCAAATTATGATCTTTTATACCGAAAATATGCTAATTACTGAAAACGGCGATGGGTCATATTTTGCCCAAACCCCCCCTGCAGTTTTCAAAATATCTGAAATATAAAAAATTTGACTCCTGAGCGTGATTTTCGAGCCGAATTCTGACGCTCTGCACCTATTTTCATTTTCAAATTACGATCTTTTATACCGAAAATATGGTAATTACTGAAAACGGCGATGGGTCATATTTTGCCCAAGCACCCCCTGCAGTTTTCAATATATCTGAAATGTCGGAAATTTGACTCCTGAGCGTGATTTTTGAGCCAAGTTCTGACTCTCTGCACCTATTTTCATTTTCAAATTACGATCTTTTATACCGAAAATATGCTAATTACTGAAAACAGCGATGGGTCATATTTTGCCCAAACCCCCTGCAGTTTTCAAAATATCTGAAATGTCGGAAATTTGACTCGTGTGATTTTTAGGCCGAATTCTGACTCTCTGCACCTATTTTCATTTTCAAATTACGATTTTTTATACCGAAAATATGCCAATTACTGAAAACGGCGATGGGTCATACTTTGCCCAAACCCCCTGCAGTTTTCAAAATATCTGAAATATAATAAATTTGACTCCTGAGCGTGATTTTCGAGCCGAATTCTGACTCTCTGCACCTATTTTCAGTTTCAAATTACGATCTTTTTTTACCGAAAATATGGTAATTACTGAAAACAGCGATGGGTCATATTTTGGCCAAACCCCCCGGCAGTTTTCAAAATGTCTGAAATTTCGGAAATTTGACTCCTGAGTGTGATTTATAGACCGAATTCTGACTCTCTGCACCTATTTTCATTTTCAAATTACGATCTTTTATACCGAAAATATGCTAATTACAGAAAACAGCGATGGGTCATATTTTGCCCAAACCCCTCTGCAGTTTTCAAAATATCTGAAATATAAAAAAATTGACTCCTGAGCGTGATTTTCGAGCCGAATTCTGACGCTCTGCACCTATTTTCATTTTCAAATTACGATCTTTTATACCGAAAATATGCTAATTACTGAAAACGGCGATGGGTCATATTTTGCCCAAGCACCCCCTGCAGTTTTCAATATATCTGAAATGTCGGAAATTTGACTCCTGAGTGTGATTTATAGACCGAATTCTGACTCTCTGCACCTATTTGCAGTTTGAAATTACGACTTTTTATACCGAAAATATGCTAATTACTGAAAACGGCGATGGGTTATATTTTGACCAAACCCCCTGCAGATTTCATAATATCTGAAATATAATAAATTTGACTCCTGAGCGTGATTTTCGAGCCGAATTCTGACTCTCTGCACCTATTTTCAGTTTCAAATTACGATCTTTTATACCGAAAATATGGTAATTACTGAAAACAGCGATGGGTCATATTTTGCCCAAACCCCCCGGCAGTTTTCAAAATGTCTGAAATGTCGGAAATTTGACTCCTG